GGCCACTGCACTCCAGTCTGGGCGACAGAGTGAGACTCCAACTTAAAAAAAAAAAAAGGCTGAATCGTGTTTCTTTGTATGTGTATACCACATTTTCTTAATCCATTCACCCATTGATGGACACTTAGGTTGATTCCATATCTTGGCTGTTGTGAATAATGCTACAGTGAACATGGGATCTCTTTGACATATTGGTTTCTCTTCCTTTTGATATATACTCAGTAGTGGAATTTCTGGATCGTTGTTAGTTCTATTTTTAGTTTCTTGAGGAGCCTCCTCCTTGTTTTCCATAATGACTGTACTAATTTATATTCCCACCAATAATGTGCAAGAGTTTCTTTTTATTCACATCCTTGCCAACTATTTTCTTTCATCTTTTAAAAAATAGCCATTCTGAGAAATATGAGATGATATCTTACTGTGGTTTTAATTTGTATTTCCCTCATTAGTGATATTGAGAATTTCTTATATATTTGTTGACCATTGTATGTCTTCTTTTAAGAAATGTCTTTTCGGGTCCTCAGCCCATTTGTAATTGGGTTACTTGTTTTTATTGCTATTAATTTTTTTCCATTTCATATGTTTTCTCTTCACTCTGTTGATTGCTTCCTTTTCTGTGTAGAAGTTTTTTAGTTTGATGTAGTCCCACTTGTCTATTTTTGCTTTTGTTACCTGTGCTTTTGGGGTCATATAAAAAAAATCATTGCCCAGACCAATGTTGTGGAATTTTTCCCCTATTTTCTTCCAGTAGTTTTAGTTTAAGTCTTTAATCTATTTTGATTTGATTTTTGTATATAGTATGAAGTTAGTGTCTAATTCCATTCTTCTGCATGTAGATATTCAGTTTCTTAGCACCATTATTGAAGAGACTATCCTTTCCCTATTGTGTGTTCTTGGCACCTTTGTTGAAAATCCTTTGTTTTCACCTTTGTTGAAAATTCGCCATGAATATGTGAATTTATTTCCAGACGCTCTATTCTGTTCTACTGGTATGTGTCTGTTTGTCGACAAAGCACCATGCTTTGTCGAATACCAGAGCTTTACAATATATTTTGAAAGCAGGGAATGTGATGTCTCCAGCATTGTTCTTTTTGTTTAAGACTGCTTTGGCTTTTATGATTTCATACACATTTTAGGATTTTTTTTCTTTTTCTGTGAAAAATTACATTTGAATTTTGATGGTAACTACATTGAATCTGTACATTGCTTTGGGTAATTTGGACATTTTAACAGTATGAAGTCTAACAACTTATAAACACATAATATTATTCCATTCATTTGCGGTTTTTTTTTTTTTTCCAACTCTTTCAGCAACATTTTGTAGTTTTCGAATATACAGGTCTTTCACCCTGGTAAATTTATTCCTAAGCATTCTAGTTTCCTTAATATTATAAATGGGATTGTTTCCTTATGTTTATCAGATAGTTCATTGTGCACAGAAACGTTGCTGATTTTGTTGATTTTGTATCCTGTGACTTTATTGAAATTTATTAGTTTTAGTAGTTTTTTGATAGAGTCTTTAGGGTTTCTATATAAAAGATCTTGTCATCTGCACACAGAGACAATTTCACTCCTTTCCTATTTGAATACCATTTACTTCTTTCTCTTGCCTAATTGATATGGCTAGGACTTCCAGTGTTATATAGAAAAAAAAGTGGTGAGATTGGCATCCTTTTTGTTGTGATCTTAGAGGAAAAGCTTTCAATGTTTTACCATTGAATATAAATTTTAGCTGTGACCTTGTCCTGTGTGGCCTTTATTGTGTTGAGGTATATTCCTTCTATACCTAATCTGTTCAGAGTTCTTATCATGGAAGGGTGGTGAATTTTGTCAAATGCTTTTTCAGCATTTATTGAGTTGATCATATGGTTTTTGTACTTCATTCTGTAAATACAGTGTATCTTATCTGTTGATTTGCATGTTGACCCAGTCTTGCATCCCAAGGATAAATCCCACTTGATCTTGGTAAATAATCCTTTTAATGTGCTGTTGAATTCAGTTTGTTAGTAGTTTGCTGAGGATTTTTATATCTGTGTTCATAAGTGATATTGACCTATAATCTTCTTTTCTTGTAGTGTCCTTGTCTGGCTTTAGTAGCAGGTAATGCTGGTCGTGTAAAATGAGTTTGGAAGTATTTCTTCCACTTCAATTTTGTGAAAGAGCTTGAGAATTGATATTAGTTCTTCTTTAAATGTTTAGTAGGATTCAGCAGTGAAACCATCATGTCCTGGGCATTTCTTTTTTCTTTATTCTTTCTTTTGTTCTTTTTTTTTTTTTTTATAGAGGTGGTGTCTTGTTATGTTGCCAAGGCTGGTCTTGAACTCCTGACCTCAAGCATTTCTCACACCTCAGCCTCCCAAAGTGCTGGGATTTCAGGCGTAAGCCACTACTGGTTGTGAGCATTTCTTTGATGAGAGATGTTTTATTAGTCCTTACTTGTTATTTGTCTATTTTTTTTTTTGGTGCCTTAAAATTTATTTATTTATTTACTTACTTACTTACTTATTTATTTATGGGTGGGGGTGGGACCTTACTCTGTGGCCCCAGCTGAAGTGTAATGGCACAATCACTGCTCACCACAGCATCAACTTCCTCTCAAAATGCTGGGATTATAGGAATGAGCCATCACATCCAGCCTAAAGTTTTTTCAGTTAAAAAATGTATTGAGGTGAAACTCACATAATATACAATTTTAAAGTGAACAATCAGTGCCATTTAGTATTTTTGCAATGATGTACATCTACCATCTCTAGTTCCAATGCATTTTGATACTGGAAATTTTTATTTTCTATATATTTTTTTAGCAGTCTTGCTAGGGGCTTATGAATTTTATTAATTATTTCAAAATACTATAATTTGGTTTTGTTAGCTTTTTTCTATTGCAGCTTTACTTAATATAGTTCATTGTTAGTATACAGATCTTAAAATCAGTTCGTTGTAGATACTTGTGTTTATTTCTGGATTCTCTATTCTGTTCCATTGGTCCATGTGTCTGCTCTTGTACCATTACCATGCTATTTTGGTTACAATAGCCTTGTGGTATAATTTGAAGTCAGGTAATGTGATGCCTGTAGCTTTGTTCTTTTTGTTCAGGATTGCCTTGGCTATTGGGCCTTTTTTTTTTGGTTCTATATGAAATTTAGGGTTGTTTTTTCCAATATTGTGAAAAATA